CTGGTTTATCGTCCGCTAAACGAATTTTCATTTCTGCATGTTTAATTTTACCTATCTCATCCATATTTTCCGCAAAAACATATATTCATTTAAAAGTAATAATAGATTTTTAGGAACTGTTTGAAAAATATTTTCTGTAACACGATATTTTATATCATCTAAAGAATTTTATGATAAGCACTTACATTTTCTGCTTCAGGGACACATAGAATGCCTTTTGCTACCACTTGGTTCCTCTTTAAACTATTTGTTCCTATGGACATGTTCAGTACTGGAATCTTGTAGGCTGACGAAGAAATAACGCACCTAGGCAAAATATATTCTCCCCAATACATGGTTGATTGTTTTTTGGAAAACAGCAGGTGCGTTGACCAACCCAAATGGCCATCTGGAGTCATAAAAGCACAGAATTTAATTAATAGTATAACATAATCAACGTAATTTTAACCCGCAAAACAATAATACTTGCCGTTCTACTGCAGAGCGTAGAGTGGATGATCCCTTCCCTCGCCAGTTGTCGAAAAACGATGAGTTCGTCCTTTGTGAATCATCGCTTGGTTTATGTAACTTTTCCTTTGTTACCAGAAATCAAGTGATTTCTTTTACAGTCGGCCATGCTACTTCATTTTCCGTCCCGGAAAAAATATCTTCACTCGCCCTGGAAATTGATACAAAAAGAATATAATGCAAAAGATACTAAAGAGTGGGTTAGATATTGTCGCTGATGGCCAGTCTTCAACAATATCCGTTGTTCTCAACAATTTTACACATACAACTAAATCAACTGTAAATATAACTGCGTCCGTGTGAACTTCAGTTGGTAACCTGGGATCATAGATAGCAAGTATAGATCTTTTGATCAAAACTTCTGTACGTTTTTCAAAAGCACTATCCTCCGCTACACCCCAACTAAACATATCATCCTTCTTGGCGAGAGACTTCAAAGGTCGAGCAATTTGCGCAAAATTTCTGTGTATTTCCGAGAATAACTACATAAACCCACAAACTAACGTTCTTGATGAACATTCTTGGGTACAGAGAACTTCTTCACAGCAACAATTTTGGAAGAACCAGGACGTATCCCAGCAGCACTAATCTCGTGTCCTAAGTAGTCAATTTGGTTTTGGAAGAAATTACATTTGGATAAACGCAAAGTAATACCAGCATTTCGGAATGTTTGAAAAACCTCTTCCAGAGCTAATATCGTCCATGTACGCCAACGCCGTAGAGAACCTTATAGAGCCCAATACATGGTTCATTGTTCTTAGGAAAACAGCAGGTGCGTTGACCAAATGGCATCCTAAGGTACTCGTACTGGCCATCTGGAGTCACAAAAGTTATTTTCTCTCTGGATTCCCTTTCCATTGGTATCTGGTGATAGCCGCTTGCCATATCCAACGTAGTATAGTTATTTACCTAACAAATGCGGAAAGTGATACTTTACCGCACGCAACGGCAGTTGACCGAACGACGCGGAGCGGAGTTGGGTCAAGCCGTTAAGGTTGATTGTCCTTTGGAAAACAGCAGGAGCGTTGACCAACCCAAATGGCATCCTGAAGGTACTCGTACTGGCCATCTAGAGTCACAAAAGCACAGAATTTAATTAATAGTGTATCATAATCAACATTATTTCAACCCGCAAAACAATAATACTTGGCGTCCTACTGCAGAGTGGAATGATCCCATCCCTCCGGGTTGCCGAAAAACGATGTGTTTATCCTTTGTGAATCATCGCTTAGTTTAAGTTACTTTTCCTTTATTACCAGAAATCAGGTGGTTTTTTTACATATATGATATTGACAGTATAAATACATTTTGGAATAAAATTAAAATCAAATGTAGCTCTACTAATTGGAAATAATTTATTTTTATAAAAACGCAAAGCTCATTTTTAACTAAACTGGATATTTATTACATGCAATGATTTTATATTTGAAGCAACGTTGCAAAATTTAAAATAAATTACTTATTTCGGATTCCTATAATAATTTATAAAATGAGAAAGGTATTTTTGTATTTTTTCCTATCTCAAAATCACAATTTATTAGGTAATAAAGCCAAAGTTCTTATCATTTAGGGCCTATTTTTCCAAGACCTTTATAAAGCCGGCCAGAAAAAGTAACACCGCCATTTGTAGCAAATGTACAGCAATTTACCCCAAAGATCGAAAAATCAGATCTTTTGGTTTTGTAAAAAATTGAAGGCTTGCCTTGGTTAGTGGCTAAAGGCAATTTATAAATTTCACATTGGTCGAATGGATGATGAAAAAAGAAATCACCTAAGCCATTTAGATCCAAATCAGTTAACTTTCAAAGAAACACACATGGATAAAACTCAAGTTGAAAATATTAAAATCCAAATTTGAGGATCAAGTGTATGGCCGCCCTCCAAAATCCCACTTGATTCCTTTAATTCGAAATCTCCAGAAATGCCCTTTGAGCGAAGGGCTGTGCCCCCCAAATGGAATATTTGATTTCCAATTTAGAATTCAGGGGATGCGGCTTTGTTTTGCGAAATATATTCCACCGATGAAAATTAAAACAGTGCCCATGCTTAATTAATTTTCATATAAAAATCAACAACGTTTTAATAAATCAATTTTCGGAAATAGCAACAACGTTTAGTTTATTTATATGTCATAATGTGTGGGACATATTTGATTTAATAGGCTATAAACATTGGTTAATTAATTATTGCTTTTTGTTAAATTGAATTGCGGAAATCATAATATTTTATTAGAGCGCGGACAGGAATGTTTAAATTTGTTCATAATGGAACAATAACAACCGAATGGTAATTAATAAACAAAAAATTATTACTTGTTGCGGAGGGGGCTTGAAAAATTTAACTTTGTGTAAAGTTTGTGTAGAAGGAAGCATCCTCTTGGAAATTGAATTTAGTTCAAGAATGTTTAATCACTTAAAAAAATTCAATCAACATTTTGGATCATTTTGACGCCATTTAACTCTACTCCATTTTCGAGCTTTTCTTGTCGCAGAATTAAAAAAGCTTAAGGTTTAGTGTTCCTCTTGGATTGAATTGGTATTTTATTTGACTTCACACTACAAAGAACAAACAACTTCTGTTTTATTTACTAGAGATTTTCTAATAGAACAAGTTTTCCTACTATAGGGTAATGAAAAATTTTAATAGCTTTTTACTCTTGACAGGGTAACAAATCAAAAAAGGGTTTGACCAACCTTGTTTTCCATTTCGTGTCAGGAAATAAATATGAGACCAGTAAAATATGTTACGGACGGAAATGTAAAGTTGAATTAGAGATTATATATACCTACTGAATTTTAATGGGATTGGGTGGCAGCTTTTTAAACTTAAATAGTATATTATTATAAAGCTAGCGATGATAATAAAAAAGAGATCTCCATTTTCTAATTTTCGGAAATTAGTTCGCCAGAAGCGTAGATATCAAACTTAGCTAATGAATTGAATTATTAAAGATATTTGGACATTTGCTATTCTCCTGCTATCTTCTGCCAGACTGCTTTAAAGTTTCAAATTATTATTTATTTAGATTTATTTTCCACTGTCCACTTAAAAAATACAAATAAAGCTGTGCGAAATAACTGGAGAATCCACAGGTTTCAGATAGAATGGTAATCGATGAAAGATTTTAAGATATCGAAACTGAAAAGGATATTTTTTCACCTTACCAAGCTTTACTTCCAAACTCCACTCAGTTGGCCAGCTCTTTCAGGAAGTTCAAGTCCAATGTGTAGGAGTGCAAACGAAACCGTCTTGATTTAACCGGTCGCGGCAAACGAAAAACCGCAGATCTATTTTCTCGAACCACACGAAACGGACAGAGTGTTTTTGACGAAATCAATTTTCCCAAACTTTTGGGCATTACTTTGGGATCCTTCAATCACAAGGAAATCTTGTAAATGAATCTGAATGCAATATGTGGAATTAGTAAATATATTTGTGCTGCATCTTTCATCTATTGAGATTTGGGTTCACCAACTTTCTTTTCCTGAAGCAATTCGATTCTCATTTTATGTAATGTCCAAAATGTCCATTCAAATCTCTCCAATTTTTAACACCAAAAGATATTTATTTTTTAGAATGAATTCAATGAAAAGCACCGGCCCGGAAAAGCTACTTAAAGATTTCCATCCTCATTTATTGAAATGCAATATAATTCGATATTTTTACAGGTTTTCATATTACGTTGTCAACGGAAACGGATGCCTCACAAAAGTCTAGATTCCAAGATCAGGGAAATTTACTTAAAGCATTAAACAAAAATTTAAAGTCAAAAATTCAGGTTTCTTCAAGCCCAATAGAGACAAAATGTCATACTGTCATACCCAAATTAAATATTAAAAACCCCTCTAGAATATAAATCAAAGTGTAATACCTAATTCATTTAGTGAAGGGGTCAAAACATAAGCTGTTATGTTTGGACAAGATTTATGCGATTTACCATATACCCACGTACAAAATAGGAAGATTACACTGTATTGTCCGAAATAATTTGGAGAGTAGGTATCAAATCCCAGAATTAATTGTGCTTCAGAAAACGACCGAGTCAATTGAATAATTTCACTTTTAAAAACATGCCTAAAACAGAAGATCTATTTATGAAATTTAATTTCAATTTTTGTATATAAAAACAACTGCATTATTATAGATTCCTTCTGTGCAATTACAAATGACAAGCCTTTCAGTAATTGTGGGCTCTGTTCTTTAATCTCGTCTTTTGGAGAAGTCACGTTCCTGAGAGACTGACTGAGATCGCCTCTTCTAGTTTAATCACGCTCTAGGAAAGTGCCTTTCCAGGATTTCCAAAAGGAAGGATAGAGAATTAATTTAATTTTTTCGTTCATTTTGTTTAAATGTAAAAACGAGAAACAGATTTTTACATTTTATTAAAAGTCAAAATATTGGGTGGAAGTGAATTTAATATGCTTCTATTCAGATTTTGAATAAATAATGATTTTCCTTTATGATGTTTTAATATATATTTTTTTTTGTTGCAGGGACTACTACTACGACAGGTAAGCAAAATGATAAATGAACTTATTTCGAATGTAACAAGGAAGAGTAAAAACCAACATTCATACACTATGTTGAAAGGGATAGAATGCCTCTTTGGATAGAGGAAAGAGAGAGAGAGAGAGATCTCGGAAGAATTTCTCTATAATATTAGTTGATTCTTGCATGTCTTTTTTTAGATTTCATCTCGATCCTAGGATTTTTTCGGGTATAATCACCCAATTATTTGATTATTCAACGTAGTAACTTTCCAAAATGTTGCTCCTTAATATAAATCCATCATTTCCTTCTGGATGTTTCATTGATTTATGCCAATAGAAAGTTACAAAATGGTGTCAGAATTGATTTGATTGGCTGATCAGTTTCAATTTTTGATTATTCCCGGCTCTTCATTCCAATCAAATGCCGAGAATAATCACCCAATTATTTGATTACTTAACGTAGCAACTTTATGAAATGTTGCTCCTGAATATAAATCCATCATTTTTTTCTGGATTGTAATGACCCGGGAAAAATAGACCCGTAATTTACAACGTCTTAAAAAAAATGCAACAACAGTTAATTTAAATGTAATCGAATAATCAAAAATTGAATCTCCAGTATTTCAAATCAGTATCAATAACTTGAAAGATGATGAAACAAATTAGCGTTGACCCCAAATTAATTAAAACATTATATACGTTCAAATTTAAAAAAAAAAGCCAGTGACGAAGCGCGTATTCTTACAACAAATCTGTTGACCCCGATAATCCAGGAAATTGCGACATAATTATTCGGTTTTAAACAAATGAATATATTTCCTAGGAAAGAAGAAGGGTCAATGGCCAGTGTTGTGTAAAGTGGCCCCGAAATATTTTTGGGGGAATGAAAAATATAAAAACAGCGGTTTCGAAATTTTGGAATCAGTTTAAGCTTAGTCTGCACTCCAGTTGAGTCTTCAGTCCAGTCTTGAGTTTAAGTCTACAGTACCTAATGAGTCAGTGCGGATAAAATTCGCGAAGAGTTTATTTTATTTTGTTGCCTCGGGAAAACGCGTTTAATCGAATCTTTGAAAAAGTAACGAAAAATTGTGAATGAAAGAACATTTAAATTCGTTCAACATTATGTGCGAGCTCTAAATAATCAAAAGAAATTAGAATAATTAAGTGACTTTAAGGACGATAATTTAAATGTAAGTACTCTAGTGACAAGTTTTATTCTGACTCTATCTATTGAAATGACTATGAGGTGAATTGACAATGAAACTTTATAGTAAAAATATTATTATCTTGAGAGAATTGACTTTGAATATTTTTGTGCTTAGTATAGATAGAGAAATTTAATTCAAATGACTTTTAATTGAAATGAATTTTACTGAAGAGTTTAATAATCGAATTGACTGTTTTGTTCCATCTAGTAAATGATTAGTTAGATATTTTGGTTTCTAATTAAATTAATTTTGATAAAATGTTCATTGTTTTGATAGTATTTAGTCTGGCTAAGTACACAATATTGAGTATAAGTGTTGTACTAAATTTGGCTGTAAGCAATTTCAGGGATTTGATACGCCCTTAGAATAGGAAGTTATAATAATCAATTATGAATTATCCCCAGTAGCACACAATGTTGGTCCGATGTTGCGGATACATTGGACCAATATTGTATATTGGCCCAATATTGGCATTTTTCAGCCAACATTAGACATTTATTGGTAATACAACTTCTTTCATCATTATAATAATATATTTATCCAAGAATGGGCCAATATGCACAAACAATATTTTTATCGGCAGCATATAGCCAAGATTGGTTACATATTGGCAATACAAATTTTTCTTATATAACAGTGATATATTTATCCATCATTGCACCGATAAGCACAAAAAAATTGTTTTTTTGTGCATTATTGAGCCAATATTGGCAATACAACTTTTTCTAATGTTACTATAATATTGTATCCATTAATGGACCAATATGGACAGATAATGTTCTTATTTGCATTATTAAACCAATATTGGATAAATAATGGCAAAATAAATTATTCTAATATAACAGCGATATATTTATCCATATTGGCCAAATATTGATTCTGTATTGGTAAAATATTGTAAATAGGTCCAATATTGGCAATTTGTAGCCAATATTGGTAAAATATTGGAGATTTACCTTTTTCCTACATTATTATTATATAATACCTATGTGAATCCAAGATTGATCCAATATTGGATCCGATCCATGCTTGGCAATATCTTTTATTCATGTTTATATTTAATATTTATCCAATACTGGTGATATATAGGAGATGTACCTTTTCCATATCAATCAGGACTACCGAGAGAGGGCACCACGCGCTACTGATGGCCTTGCTCTTTCCTGGTGTTTGAGTTTCCTTCAAAACTGTTTCTTTGAGTTGGTGTGCTTCGCTAACAAGCTCGAAATCGGAAACCGGTCTAGTCTGCAGGTGTTAGAGCTTTGGTTAAATACATGTGTTTTTCCAAAAAAATATTGTAAATATTTCTAGGAAATATTGTAAATAGAAATATTTCATATTTATCAATTGTTAATATTGGAGAAATGTTTATATTCAATATCGGATTCATATAATAAGTATACATTGTACCAATCTGAAAAACAAACATTGGGTATAATTCTAAAAGCAATATTACATGTTTATTAATTATCAATAATGGGACAATGTTTTTCTTCAATATCGGATTCATATTTACAATATATATTGGACCATTAAAAAAAAATCTGTCGTTTCCATTCTTGGGCCAATATGTAAATATAATATTTTACCAATATTGTTGTGCTACTGGGGATTGTTTTGAGGTGTAAAAGGTGTTTAGGATTTATTAATATTGTACCTAACGTAGTAGGGCTATATGAAAGTGTTATCAAAGTACAAGGCTTTTTGATTGCATCATTTGATTTACAAGCTCAGAGACAGTGTAGAATTGTTTATCTCTGTTCAGAAAGGTGTTGGATTAGGGTTTAGAAAATTTGTACCATTGCTATAGCAAATGAAAATCTGTTTATTTTGTTATCAACAAAGTATAATTATTAACGAATAACCATATAAATCAGTTGTTTCTTCCAATTGCAAATAGACCCGCCCCACAATTTTATTTTTCAGTAGCTTCCTAAGGAAATAATTACCAGCAAATACGACCGCTCGCAATTTACCATCTAACCTTAATAATAGAGTACCTGGAGCGGATGCTACAGGATGTTTCATTGATTTATGCCAATAGAAAGCTACAAAATGTTGTCAGAATTGATTTAATTGGCAGTTTGAATTTTTGATTATTCCCGGCTCTTGATCCCAATCAAATGCCGGAAATAATCACCCAATTATTCGATTACTCAACGTAGCATTTCTTTTAGAATATTGCTCTTAAATAAAAATCCATCATTTTCTTCTGGATGTTTCATTAATTTATGACAATAGAAAGCTACAAAATGGTGTGAGAATTTATTGGTTGATTAGTTTCAATTTTTGATTATTCCCGGCTCTTGATTCCAATCAAATGCCGAGAATAATCACCAAATTATTTGACTATTCAACGTATCCGAATAACGATAACCGTATTTTGGAGTATGTGCCAAAAAACTCAAAGAGAATCTCACCAAAACGCAAACAGTTACGACGATCACCTGTTGCCAGAAATTGTCTCGTTCTAATCTGATTCTCTCCTTGGCGGTTCACGGTTCTTTGTCGCAAGTTTGCCGCCACCACCGCCGCCGGTTTTGTTCCCGGATTTCGTTTTCCATTAATCTTCCTTCGTTCTTTTATAAAAACAAACGATAAACAAAAGGCTGAATGGAAAACAAAAGACGACTTGGCTTTTTTCGTCGTATTTCCTTTTATTATGGGGAAGTTTAGAGAAGTCCTACTTGATAATTTATACGCTTTCGGGAGGCATTTATCTAGTTCAAGTTTTAAACGTGCAAATTCGAAATCGCTAATCTATTTACCGAAACAAATATTTGTTGATAGATCGTTTTTTAAAGCCGATGGAGCTTATACTTGAGCTGATTTATTTACATGAATGATTTTTCTGTCAAAAAAGTGCAGTTTTGCTTGGTACAAAAATTATTTATCCATATTTCAGCTTCTTGTGTTATCGATTTTGACTATACCTGCTATAATTTCAAAAAGACACTAATAATGTTCAAAACGACATTGGTAACAAATTTCTGAAACTATCTATCGATTACCAAAGTTAAGTTAGTTTTCCGCATTTTCCCACAGAGTAAACAACGTAGAGTGTAATTGCTTTGCGCCAATTAAAATTGCCGAGAAAATTTATTTTAAACGTCGTCCTGGAACTTTTGTATAGCGGGCTTGTATTATCCTTAGACCCCCATTAGCAAGGTTTTAAAGTCATTATGGGATTTTATAAGGAAAATAAAGAGGAAAGTTTAGGAACATTTTGACTTGTTTACTAGAGGAATTTCCACTGTCTGAGGAAAGTCCTGGACATTGAGAAATAAATAAAGTAAAAAAAGGGTTCGGCAAGACATGAGGACATAATTTTCGAAGTACCGGGTCGGAACCAGTAGCACTAATCTTATGTCCTGAATAATAAATTTTCTCCTTAAGAAAATTAGATTTTGACAGACGCAAAGTGACACCTGCATTTCGGAAGACTTCAAATACTTCCTCAAGAGCAACCAACCCAGACGCAACACTAGGAGAAGGAACCAAGATGTCATCCATGTATGCTAAGGCAGTAGAAAATCTCATGGAGCCTAGGATCTGGTTGATCGTCCGATGAAACACCGCTGGAGAATTTACTAATCCGAACGGCATCCTTAAATATTCGTAGTGACCATCAGGAGTTACGAATGCTGTTTTTTCTCGGGAGTTCTCCGCCATTGGGATTTAGTGGCAACCGCTTGCCATGTCCAAGGTCGTAAAATACTTGCATCCCTTTAAAATCTCTAAATGGTTGTCCACTCCTTGGGAAAGGATAACAGTCTTTCATTGTTTTTGCGTTAACAGCGCGGTAATAGACGC